TAAAGCACATTGTCATACTATATGTGACTCTTTTTGTCTCTACTTGCACCTAGAGGTAACACCACAAATAAAACACTAAAATGGCAGCTTTTCGGGAAAAAAAAAATAGAATTCAGAATGTTCTGAGCCACTTAAACTCTTCTGGAAAAGTGGAAAAAACAGTGTGGAAGTGTCAATACTTCTACTGTATTTAGACAATGTCTTTAAATGTCAACTTTGTATGTGATTGTGAGATGTATATAAACAGAGGCATTATTATCATTCTATCATAATTTACTACTTGACCAAAATAAACTAATAAGATAAATAAATACATCTGCTCATCCCCAACTGACTAATATGACCCTGAATCGAAATAAAATATTGGATGAGCTGGAGATGCCAAGTTTAAACTGGATTAGCGACAGAATCTCAGTGTGCTGTTTCGATATAATTAACGCGATGATTTAATATGTTTTTAGCTCAGAATCATCGTAAGAGGTTTTTTGTAGTAACATAGAAATGAACACACACTCATCCAATCTGCAGAGGAATAAAAGGTTATAATATTTTTGAGTTCTCCTGGCAGAGGATCCATTCTCATCAATCTCGTGCTCGGCAGGAGAGCCTAAGGATGTTTTTCTTCCCATCACTCACAGCCGTTATTTAATGTGGGGTAACAGCCACAGTCTTCATTAATATATTAACCTATGGCTCAAAAAGGCCTCGCAGTAAACCAGCTAAAGACTCCTCCTGGCAGGTTCATGTCACAGGGCTTGCAGACATTAACCATTGGAAACACTGACCTCAGGGATAAGCCCAAAGTTAATAACCAGTCGAAGTCGGCTGGCCGACAAGCAGAAAGAGGGAGCCAAGAAGCCGACCTCAGGGAACCCACGTGCGAGCTGTTCAAGAGGGACGGGGCACAACCACGTGTAAAACCTTATGGTGGAACGTTCTGCAGCTTCTAAAAGAATGAGCAAAATGGAACGAGTGCTAAATGGAACCTGTCGCAAAATGGAACGAGTTGCAAAATGGAACGAGTGCTAAATACATGGTTACGTGAAAAAAAAAATGAAGATACCACATGGATTAAACTCTTAGTTGCTCAGCATTCTAGCACTGAGGGGTCCCCAGAGGAACGGCTGACTCCTGGCCTGCTCACCCTAAAGCTAAACCTACCGAGGCTCCCTGGAAACACACAGCACGCTTTCCTAATGACACCAGATCTCGGTTCTTTCGAACCGAAAGAACCGAAAAGGAAATCATAGACTCTTGTAGATGTGTAATGAGACAGTAAAGCATGTGTCTGTGGACTCTGCTTCCCGGTTTCCAAATGACTCACAGTGCAAGTCTTCACATCGTGAGCTCAGGGGTCTCCCATCCTGCTCACCCTGCAGTGAAACCTGGCTCTGATGAGCCTCCACAGGACACACGAGCCATTGCCTATTCTGTAGCTTGAAGGTCAACAAAGAACGACCGGACATAACTGGGACACCAGAAATACGAAGGAGAGGGCTTCCCTGGTGGCACAGTGGTTGAGAGTCCGCCTGCCGATGCAGGGGACACGGGTTCGTGCCTCCGTCCGGGAGGATCCCACATGCCGCGGAGCGACTGGGCCCGTGAGCCATGGCCGCTGAGCCTGCGCGTCTGGAGCCTGTGCTCCGCAACGGGAGAGGCCACACCAGTGAGAGGCCCGCGTGCCGCAAAAAAGAAAGAAATACGAAGGGGAAAGAATAAGGGAAACAAGAAAAAGGGAACCAAGAAATCATATGCACCTATGATCCCATATCGATTTAAAATATACAGTGTGTCAGAGAAAGACAAATATCACATGATATCACTTGTGTGCGGAATCTAAAAAAAATCGTACAAATGAATTTATTTATAAAACAGAAACAGACTCACAGACATAAAAAACAAACTTACGGTTACCAAAGGGGAAAGGGTGGCAGGGAGGGCTAAATTAGGAGTTTGGGATTAACAGATACACCCTACGGTATATAAAACAGATATACAACAACGACCTAGCACAGGGAACTGTGTTCACTATCTTATAATAACTTAAAATGGAAAAGAATCTGAAAAAATAATATATTTTATGTAGGGAGTTCCCTGACGATCCAGTGGTTAGGACTCAGCACTTTCACTGCTGCGGCCCTGGGTTCAAAACCCGGCTGGGGAACTGGGATCCTGCAGGCCATTCGGCACAGTCAAAAAAAAAAAGAATATATATATATATATATCCGAATCACTTTGCTGTACACCAGAAAGTAACACATTGTAAATCAACTATACTTCAATTAAAAATATATATATATATTAAAAAATATATATATACATGTATACACAGTGTGTTTGTAAGTACACCAACATATGTGTGTTTATACATGTGCATATATGTGTATCTGGAAAGATATGTACTCAGATTCGAGCAGTGCTAATCTCTAGGTGGTGGGACATACTTATTTTTTAACTGTTGCGCTTTTCAGTTTTCATCTTCCAATTCCATAAGTGTACAATGCTTCTGAAATTAAACAAAAAATGTTTTTCAAAATAGAAATAAACTAAAACAGTATATTAAAAACCTAGAGTAGGGCTTCCCTGGTGGCGCAGTGGTTGAGAGTCCGCCTGCCGACGCAGGGGACGCGGGTTCGTGCCCCGGTCCGGGAGGATCCCACGTGCCGCGGAGCGGCTGGGCCTGTGAGCCATGGCCGCTGAGCCTGCGCGTCCGGAGCCTGTGCTCCGCAACGGGAGAGGCCACAACAGTGAGAGGCCCGCGTACCGCAAAAAAAAAAAAAAAAAAAAAAAAAAAAAACCTAGAGTGATCTGAGATGTTGCAAGAAACAGAACAGAACTTCAAAAAAGACTCCAAATAGTATCTTAGAGATCCTGGGGAACAAATGCATTCGTAAAACAAGAATAGGATGACATGAAAAAGGAAAGAATAGAGGACAAGTAACTTTTAAAAGAACGCTGAAATTGAAAGCATTAATAGAAAAGTTGTAAGATGGAGCTGGGGAAAAAGGCAGATAGAAAATACGGGAAGCAATAAAAGACTTAGAACATCAATCCAAAAAATTTCAACATCTAACCAATAAGAGTCCCAGAAAGAGAGTGTAAAGAATCTGAGGGGTGAATGTTGTTAAAGAGAGATTATCAGAAATTACCAGAATCAAAAGTCTTCAAATGGGGCTTCAAATGGGGCTTTCCCATACCTCAAAAAAAAAAAAAAAAGTCTTCAAATGGAGAGTTCTCAGCACAATAAATGAAAAAGAGACCCACATCTCAATATATCACTTCAGAACACACAAAGAGACAAGAATCAGATTGGCATCTGATTTTCCATAAACAACACTAGATGCTAGAAAATAATGAAGCAACATCTTCAAAGTTCCTAGGGAAAAAATTCTGTTTCACCTAAAATTCTGCAGCCCACCAAACCACCAGTCAAGCATGAGGTAGAATACAATCATTTTCAGATATGACATTTACAGAGTTTACTTCGTGCTCTCTCCTTCCCCTTCTGGGAAGTTACTCAAGAATGTGAATCAGAGAATGGAGAGAAAGTGACAAACCGAGGGGCACTCGTCCCCTTGCCCCCTCCCCTTCCAGGAAGCAGCCCTGGAGCTTAATGAGGGGAAACCCTGGGTGACAGCAGTCTGGATACTACCTAGTGAAAGGACACAGAAGGAGAATGCTGTGCCTTAGGTGTCTTTACAGAGGGTGAATAGGAGGGGCCATGTCAAAGGTTGGGTTTTCCAGAAACAGGAGCTGGGATGGAGTTTGTGTTGGAGATCCGCACAGAGGAAAGGGGAGGAAGCAGGGTTGGGGAGCTGTGACTCAGGCCAGGAGCCTGCAGGGCGGAGTGGGCCACGATGGCCCATCAGAGGAGCCCCCAAAATCCCCTCCCCCAGCCCATCACTAGATGTGGACCACCCAGGGAGGGGCGTGCCTGTGGTCAGGGAGGCTCTCTGCAGCAGAGGCCGGCCCTGAAGGGGCATCTGGTGCACACGTCTCTTGGTCGGCCCACAACACAGCCCATGGCAAACCCCTGGAAAGCACAGAGATGAGCTGCAGGGGTTCTATCAGCCCCCTGCAAAATCTACAGGCAGGACGCTAAGTTATGGTTCTGAAGAGTTTTCTATGGGGGGAGCACAGAGTAAGTTAGTCTAAGTATGCAATTTCCTGAAAGCGGGTTAATGAAAGTTAAAGGATATAAAAATTAAATTAACTTTTAAGATCTTCATCTCCAATATCCATTGCCTAGGCTAAGTTTTTTTTTTAATAACTTTGCTTTTCTAAGAGCAGTTTAGGCCGACAATAAAACTGAGACGAAGAGATTTCCCATACGGCCACCCGGCCACCCGCTGCCCACAGGCAGGCACAGCCTCCCCTTTGTTGACAGCACTCAACAGAGTGGTTCACTTGTTTTGCCAAAGGTGAACCTCCATTGACACATCAGAATCACCTAAGTCCATGTTTATCCTAGGGCTCACTCTGGGTGTTGTACACTCAGTGGACTCGGACAAATGTGCAATGACATATATCCATTTATCATATCATAAAGAGTGTTTTCACTGCCCTAAAAATCCTCTGTGCTCTACCTATTCAGCTTTTCCCAACCCCTCCCCTCCAAAACCACTGATCTCTTTACCATCTCCATAGTTGTGCCCTTTCCAGATTGTCATAGAGTCAGAATCATGCAGTGTGTCGCCTTTCCAGACTGGCTTTCACTTCGTGATGTGCCTTATGGTTCCTCCATGCCTTGTCTTGGCTTCACAGCTCATCTCTTTTTAGCAGCAAATGATATTTCACTCTCTGGATACACCACAGGTTATTTATCCTCTCACCTACTGACGGACGTATGAGTTGCCTCCAATTTTTGGCAATTATGAATAAAGCTGCTCTGAGTATTTGTGTGCAGGTTTTGTGTGGAGATATGTTTTCAACTCTTCTGGGTAAGTACCAAGGAGCATGCTTGCTGGATTATATGGTAAGAGTATGTTTCATTTTGAAAGGCACCGCCCAACTGCCTTGCAAAGTGGCTGCACCACGTGCGTCCCCACCAGCGGTGAGCGTTCCGGCTGCCCCACATCCTCGCCAGCATTTGGTGTTGTCGGTGCTCTGGATTCTGGCCATTCTCAGAGGTGTGTAGTGGTGTCTCATTGCTGTTTTAATGTGCATTTCCCTGATGACATAGGATGTGGAGCATCCTTTCATACATGCTTACTTGCCATCTGTATATCTTCTTTGCTGAGGTATCTCTTAAGGTCTTTGGCCAATTTTTTTAGTTGGGTTGTTTTCTTGAGTTTTGAGAGTTCTTTGAGTTGAGTTGAATTTTGAGAGTTCTTTGTCTGTTTTGGGTAATAACCCTTTATCAAATGTGTCTTTTGCAAATATTTTCTTCCACTATGTGGCTTATCTTTTAATTCCCTTGATATTGCCTTTTGCGGAGCAGAAGTTTTTAATTTTAATGAAATCCAGCTTAACAATTCTTTCTTTCATGGATCGTGTCTTTGGTGTTGTATCTAAAAAGGCATCACCGTACCCAAGATCATCTAGGTTTTCTCCTATGTTACCTGCTGGGGGTTTGCATTTTACACTTAGGTCTGTGATCCATGTTGAGTTAACTAGGTTGGGCTTTTGACAGTGTTTATGTGATAGATTGCTCAAAACTCTCTGCACTCCTAGGTCTGTTGCAGCATCACTTACAGTAGCCAAGATATGCAGACAGGCTATGTGTCCATCGAAAGATGAATGGATAAAGCAAATGTGATGTATACGTACAATCAAATGTTATTCAGCCTTAAAAAAGAATATACGTTATATTCTGTTCTGTGCTACAACACGGATGAACCAGGAGGGCATCACGCTCAGTGAAGTAAGCCCGTCCCAGAAGGACAAATCCTGCATGATTCCACTTACCTGAGGAATCTAAAGTAATCAGACTCACAGAAGCAGAGGGTAGCATGGTTGTTGCCAGGGGCTGGGGGAGGGGAGACATGTGGAGTTGGTAATAGGCATAAAGTTTCCGTTGTGCAGGATAAACAGTTTCCGGAGATCTGTTGTACAACTTAGTGCCTCCAGTTAACAATTCTGGTTTTTTTTTTTTCTTGAAAATTAGTTTTAAGAGTGTAGATCTCATGTTAAGTGTTCTTATGACAAAGACGGTAGGGGCATGAGGAAGTTAGCAGGTGATGGATAAGTTTATTGACTGTGGTGATGGTATCACAGGTGAAAGCACATGTCCATACTAAACAAAGTGTGTACATCAAATATGTGCATTTTTTATGTATAACAGTTGTATCTCAATAAAGCCATAAGTAAAATTGATCAGGTTACTGTAATACACTTATGCTAGGTTATTTTTTGAAAAGAGATTCCTGTGCTTTAGATATCAGATACCAAGTGTTGGTATTTGCACAGCAAGGCTGAGGTTGTATTCTAAACGTCTAAAACCCTGACTTATTTCGCTGTCCTCATGAAGGACAGCTGTATCTTCCACGGAATAGGATTATGGAGGCACCAAAGGCAAACTACTTTTCAATAGTTTTGACAAGTACTCAGTTACAGCACCATCATTCTGTTCCTCTGCGTAGAATAAGAGCAATAGGGACAAGGCCAGGGTTAAACCCTATTTCTTGTCCCATTTAGGGCTCTGTTAAAGGATATTTTAAGGACATCCTCCACTATCATAAAAGAACTAGGCATCAGGTACCGGAAGCACAGAGGGCCCCAAACGAGATGAACCCAAACAGACCTACATCAAGACATATGACAATTAAAATGGCAAAAGTTAAAGAGGAGTCTAAAGGCCGCAAGAGAAAAACAAAGAGTTAATTTCAAGGGAACCACATAAGGGTATCTATCAGCTGATTTCTCTACAGAAACATTGCAGGCCAGGAGGGAGTGGCAAGCTATATTCAAAGTCCTGAAGGAGGAAAACCTGCAACAGAGGGTACTCTGCCCAGCAAGATTATCATTTAGAATAGAAGCAGAGAGAAAGAATTTCTCAGACAAGCAAAAACTAAAAGAATACACTAATACTAACCCTAACCTAAAAGAAATATTGAAATGTCTTCTCTAAATAGAAAAGAAGCAAGGATCTGTAAGAAAGGGAAAATCACAATAGGAAAAGCAAATATATTAAAGAAGTGTAGATCACCTAAATAAGCCAGTACATAGATTTAAAAAAAACAGTCAAAAAAGTTTGTGAAAGTGATTACAACCACAATGAACAGCAAAAGGATAAACATGAAGATGTAAAATAGGACATCAAAATCATAAAAGGTGGGCGAGGGGAGTAAGAAAATGTAGATTTTTTTTAGAATGTGTTTGAGCTGGGGGAGGAGGGATAAATTAGGAGCTTGGGATTAACAGGTACACACTACTATGTGTGAAATAGAGAAACAACAAGGTCCTACTGTATAGCACAGGGAACTATATTGAAAACCTTGTAATAGACTATAATGGAAGAGAATCTGAAAAAGAATATCTATGTATGTATGACGGAGTCACTTTGCTGTGCACCGGAAACTAACACAACATTGTCAATCAACTATACTTCAATAAAAAGTAAAATAAAAATAAAAGAACTAAGCGAGGCTTCTGGAAATGTATACCAGCGGATTCACCAAATAATAAAATAAGTTCATCAGTTAAATAAGGTTGCTTAGTATTATCGAATCAGATGCCAGAGTTAGGCTGACAAGAACACCTGTTTTGGTGTTGGCGTGATGATACCTTACTGTTTCTCTTGACAGTACCTGATGGGTAGGTTTAGCTGTGTCCTGAGGGCCCTGGGAACACAGCAGTAGTTCTGCATCATCGACACGAAGGAGGACTTCCTGTTGATTTAATTTTAGAGGCCACGTGACCAGATCAGCTAAGAACTATTCTGAAATCTTTAGATGTAAGGGCTGTGTAAAACAGAGCCATCTTAACATAATGAAACATGGAATTTGATGTCAGGAGGCCATTCCTCCCCACTCTGATTTCCTCAGTGACATTATGATAAAGGCAAAAGGTGCATTAAAAGCTTTGGATCTATATTGAGGTCGTAAAATCTCGCCCATAGACAGTTCCTGTCTGGGGATTCATATGCCAGAAATAGATCAATAAATGCTGTGAAAAGTTCTACACTATTTTCAACCAACTGCTCTATAAAGTATAAGTGAATGCTCACTAGCTGGGAGTGTTAAATTACAGTAGCTGGGAGTATTAAATTACAATACACTCAAATAATTTGTTTTCTATTTATTTTCTTGGGGAAATTAACTGAGAAATGAAATGTTAGACTTGCCTCGTTTTCCGGGTAAAATCCTGAAAATAAGCCCTGACCGACACCAACCCCAGATAGGTGCCCTTTCCCACCCCACAGTAGATGCTGGATGGAGACTCTTACTCTTGGGCTCTCAGGGTGAGAACCTGATATTGTAAAACTCTAATGGTGGGACTTCCCTGGTGGCGCAGTGGTTAAGAATCTGCCTGCCAGTGCAGGGGACATGAGTTCGAGCCCTGGTCGGGGAAGATCCCACATGCCGCAGAGCAACTAAGCCCAAGTGCCACAACTACTGAGCCTGAGCTCTAGAGCCCATGAGCCACAACTACTGAAGGCCACGTACTTAGAGCCCGTGCCACACAACAAGAGAAGCCACCGCAATGAGAAGCCCACACACCTCAACAAAGAGTAGCCCCTGCTCGCCGCAACTAGAGGAAGCCTGCACGAAGCAACGAAGACCCAACGCAGCCAAAAATAAATAAATAAATTTATTAAAGAAACAAAAACTCTAGTGGTGGCACAAAGTTTGCAATCAGAGAAATGCCTTTCTCCTGGCAAAAGCCAGCTATTCCCAACTGACCAGAAATAAGACAAAAGAAGCGAATGCATCTTGGTATAGATGTCCACTCTTTGAAAACCTGTATAAGCTGCTCTGAATGACAGAACATGGGCAGGTTTCTGTGGTCTTCAGGAAGGTGGCAGGTGGCTGGATCAAACTCAGGCCTAATAAGCGTCGCCAAGGTGAGGGGACCTTCGCTCCATCTCTCCAACAGGAAGGATCACTTTCCAGGCAACTGAAAGATTCATCACACATTTCACAAAGGAGACAAGAGGTTCGGTAATGTGAGACCTTGATTTACAATGGTCTTTTGATTTACTGCTGTGTCTTTTTCAACCGTGCTATTTAAAACACGCCTCATTTAAAAGCTCATGTTTAGGGCTAAAGATCCACTCTATGCTAATAGGAAAATTAGTCTGTCTACACATCGTCCCAGATCTCCCAAGCCACCGGTCCAACCTCCAATAAAATTGCTTGCCAGGTGATAGATACTGGTTTTCTTCCGGGTAGTTACTATTTCTTTGTCTTTTTTTTTTTTTTTTCAAATGCAGTTTAAATGTTACGGAAGCAACATAAGAAAGATGCTTCGTAGCAGCAGTCTTGCTGGGTGAACACAAATGATAAGTATTTTTAGAGGGGCCCATTTCTCAACAGTACGACACCATTCGTGCAGCTCTTTATCCTTCAGGGAGCACTTGGAAACGCCTCGCTGGAGTCATGGGTAGCCTGCCAGGGCCATGCAGCCAGCGCTCTCCGCACTGACTCGCTCAAGCTCTGCCACCCCCGCACCAGCAAGGTGACGGGCGACTGCAGTTCTGTGTCTGCTGCACACCGTTCCTGCTGCCTCCTGGGATCTCGGGGACACGAAGTGAATTGATGCGTTTCTGGAAGCTTAGACTAGCCTGGCTCATAGCAAACACGCCCTGAACGTGAGCCGTGCTTATTGTGATTGACGCGGGAAGAATTCAAGTTCATTACGTGCTAAATATCACCAGCACAAGAGTTTACTGCAAGACCACTGGAGGATTTTTTAAAGGACCTCTTAAAATTCCCCTGAAGAACTAAAAAAGTTGCAGTGTGGGTAACTGAAATAATCAAAATGAGCCCCCAGTTTCCCACGTGAACCTCGAGATCCAAGCGACTCGGCCAGGGATTCCCAGCTCTGATGCCGTGAACAGTAAAAACCTCTCCACTTCCATCAACCAAGAAACAGGCGTTTTCTGAAGGCCTTTATGCCAGGCCCTGAGAAAACAGAAAAGTGTGACCCAGGTCCCCGGCCTTGGGGAAGACAAGCAAGGGCTGGGGAATTCTGAGTGAGGGGGACATCTGGGGAAAGGGAAGGAGAGACTCAAGGTCAATTTCAAAACAGAGGGCATATTTGGTTGGGGCTAAATGGGTGAGGCAGTGTCGCCACGAGCATGGGGGAAGGCGGCCCCACTAGGCAGAGGGAAGGACGAACAGGAAGCTGGGGTGTAGCTCTGGTGGCTCCGGGGACAGAGGGAGAAGGAGCCACCTGAAATGTACGGCGGTGCTGTCTGCCCACCACCCCTGCCCCTGCCTCCGGGGAGTAATCCATCCTCCGCTCTGGAGCGCGTCTCCTGGGGTCCTCATGCAGTCGTCATCCTCACGGTGGTCCATCCTCCTGGGCACACGAGGGCTTCGGGAAACAGAAGGAATGGAATAGGATCCCCACCCTCCTTTTCCCAAAGTGTGTATGTGTGTGTGTGTGTGTGTGTGTGTGTAAGAAAGAATTTGGGGCCGAGGGAGGAGGAAACCAAGTTCGGGTTTAGAAAAATTAGGAAGATATACCCTCCCTTGTTTACTTCTGGATCGTTGTTTGATTATTAGCAGCAGGTTTTGTTTCTTTTGAGTACTCTGTTAAGTTGGAATCTTCCAGAAGCAGACCCTGAGACGAGGATTTTAATGCATGAGCTCTGGTTGAGGACCAACGCCCGAAGTGCGCTGGGGATGTGGGGAGCTGGCCCAGGACGTGAGCGCCCGGAGGAGGCTGTGCGCAGCTGCGCTCTTCGAGTCCGCAGGGCCGCGGAAGAAGCCGTGGTGGCCGGAGGGCTATGCCCGGGGGCTACCCACCCTCCAGCCCTCAGCCCACCTCCACGCCCCTGGCAGGACCGGAGTGAAAGCCCCTTGCTCCAGGACGCCCCAGGTACCTGCTGTGTGGAGGACACGGGGAGGAACTGACAAAAGTGTTTTCTACAACCTTCTTTATCAAACTTTTTGATATTATCTAGAAATGTGACTTTGAACTTCTCATAGTCAAAAGGAAACTTTTCATTTAGAAAAAATAAGACATGCCTGGTTGGGACTTCCCTGGCGGCCCGGTGGTGCAGACTTTGCCTTCCAATGCAGGGGGTGCGGGTTCGATCCCTGGTCGGATGGCTAAGATCCCACATGCCTGGCGGCCAAAAAACCAAAACATAATACAGAAGCAATATTGTAACAAATTCAATAAAAACTTTAAAACTTGTCCACATCAAAAAAAAATCTTAAGAAAAAATATATTCCTGGTTGTTATATTCCCAGGGTTTCCTAAAGAAGACAGTGTCTGCATTTAGTCTGTGATCTGAGCGATATGAAAGGGCTGGTGCCTGTAGCCAGTGGTGATACTAAGTAGCATTTATGCAATTTGCAAGAGCCGCATTCGAGGGTTTTTGTTTTTTCTTTTTTGTGTTTTTTTTTTCTTTTTTGTAAGTGTGGGAGGTTTTTTTGCATTCAAGTTTTACTAGTTTGCTCTAATATAAGCAAAATATAGTATAATCAAGATAAGTATGATAGCCATCTAGAAAGACAAAGAGATTTGTAAGCACACGTAAAAACAGCAGACATCCTTGGTCCCATCTCGTCAGTCACAGTTCACACAATGCATTAGCTGGATGGCCTCACGCGAGAATATTCGTGGGAAACAAACCTCATCTAAGGTTGCCCTGCATGGATACAGGACTGCCTGACCATAAAGCCTGCTGTAGAATCAACAACAACAGAGACAGTAATAAAAAGTAACGAGAAATCTTACATAACTAACGAAATAGGCTTAACTTTTGCAGAGAAGGTAAAGTGTCCCTATGTCGGAAATGTACCTACCTTCAATTCAAGAGCATTTAGGTAATGTGCACTCCATATAGGAGAAGCATCTCCAGATAATAGAAAAACCCAATGAAAATGGGGAGAAGTATATAGAAAGAACAGGAAGAGCTAATGAAAATTAACGACGCATCTGAACCACAGCCAGAGGTGGATGTAACTTTATGTTACTCAAATGCATAAGCACTGACCGATGCAGGCCACGCCAGGGAACAAAGGTTTTGTAAGGACTTTGGTAATCGGGAATGAAATTGATAACCACAGTGAAAGCCACGACATTAATAAAGAAGGGATCAATGACACAGACAAATATATTTACAGATCATTGCCTAACTTGAGGCCTGCAAAGACCCAGATGTATCACTGCCTTCAAATTTATTTATAGATCAGTGTCTAAATGTGATGAATAGTTGGCTTGTAAACTAAAAATACTGAAAATCTCAACATATAACTGTGACTTTTTTCCCTTTCCTTTACTGGGCAGAGATGTCAGTGCAGGTCTGTGACCCAGGGACAGCTCCTTAGTCATCTGCGAGTGGTGTCACATGGTGAGCCTACCCCGCAGCTAACGGAATAAACCACACACTCCTGTCCAGAGGACAAGCTCAGCTCAGAGGCCCAGTTTCACTGGAGCCCCTCCCACGGGGCATCCTTCTTCCCAGTTCAGTCTGACCCCCTTGCTCTTGCTTACCTGGCCCCTGCCCCTCTTGGCTGCGCTGCACCACTGATAATTAACATAGCAAAAGGAAAAGATGGAGGATGTGCCGGCTGTGAAAGTTCATTTTGGCCCCAGTAGGATCTGAAGGCGTTTACTCATTCATTCATTCATTCACTCATTTGTTCACTGCCTACTGCGTGAACTAGCCCCTGGGGGATAGAAACACGCTGCAGGAAGTTGAAGAAGAATCTGAGCTGCAAGACGCAGACACAGAGGAGACACAGAATTCCTCTAAGACGAGGGTTACGTAAGAGCAGTAGGCAGGGAAACTGCTCCAGCAAAGGTGCCCCGAGCAGCGGAAGAGGACGGGCGTTCCAGCCAAGGGCGTGTGGGACGCCAGGGAGGCCAGACCCAGCAGCCCTGGAGGAGGGGGCAGGGAGGGGACGAGGGGGCGGGGGCTGGGCCACAAGGGCTGAAGCCAGCGCCCAGGCTGCCAGTGGGTTGCAGAGGACAAAGGTAGGGCCCCGGCACTGGGGCAGTGGCCGTAAGGATGGAGAGGAAGGAGCCAGCAGGCCTGGGTCTGACTGAATGTTCTCCATCAGGGTCAGCGGGAGGGCTGCTGGGGAGGAAGTCTGGGTGGTGAGGATGCTGAAGAAGGGGGTCGCTGACCTCTCACCTATCAGATGGGCAGAGAGGAGCAGCTGGGACGGGTCACCGAAGGGGAGGTGTGGGGGACAGGCGCTCACACTCTCAATTTTAGCACGGGTTGGCACAGCTTTGGGGTTGGAAGTTTGGCATTATCTGTTAATTCAAAAAAATGTGTTTATACACTTTCCCTAAGCAATTTCTAGGATGATAACCTTGTGAAACCCTTGCACGGTCCTGCACACACACACACACACACACACACACAGAGGGATGTTTGCTGTGGCATTTTTTAATAGTGCAAAATACACATATATGTTTTTAAAAGGAAACAAATATTCACCATTAGCACACTGGTTACATAAATTATGCCCATAAAGCCGTTGAAAAGAGTGAGGGACCCAGAATCGGCGGTTCTCAGATGTTAACGTGCTGGAGAGGCTGCCGGGATCCTGGAAGGCTGATAAATGCAGATTCTGGCCCAGTGGGTCTGGGGAGGGCCCGTGATGCTGCGTTTCCAGCAGGCCTCCAGGCAACGCTGCTGTCGGGACATAGATTTCTGACGTGGGGAAAAAAACCTGAGCTGTATCATCAAGAGCAAAAGGGAAACTGCAAGGCGATGCATCCTATTTTGGTAAAGAGTAATCGTAATGCAAGTTAATGTATGCCTTGACTATCTGGAAGGAAATGTATTTCTGGGAGGAAGAGCTTGAGGTGGGCTTCCCCTTTCTACATTACACATTTAACTACGATATTTCTGGGTTTTATGATGAGCATGAATTATTTTTGTACCAGAAAAAACAATATCTTAAAATAAGCAATCAATAAATTGACACATTGAAGCAAAGTTTGTGAACCTGAGCGTTATGGACTGAATGTTTATTTCCCCCCAAATTCATATGTTTAATCCTAAGCCCCAAAGTGAAGGTGTTAGGAGGTGGGGGTCTTTGCAAGGTGATTAGGTCATGGGGGTGAAGCGCTGATGGTGGGATTAGGGCCTTTATAAATGGGATCCCAGGGAGCTCCCTGACCCCCGCCCTCAGGGGTGAACGCAGCGAGAAGATGGCCGTCGATGAACCAGGCAGCGGGTCGCCACAGACACTGGATCTGCTGGCACCCTGTTCTTGGACTTCCAGCCTCCAGAACCATGGGGAACGAATGTCTGAAGTTTCAGCCGCACAGTTCATGGTGTTCTGTTATAGGAGCCCAAACGGACTAAGACACAGAGCGAAAGGTTACACTTCAACTGTATATCATATTACTCTTAATAGATCATCCGTGCTATTATTTTAAAGAGCTGTCAGCAACCAGCAGTTTTTCCAGGCTGGGGAACAAGTGTCTAATGCAACGGCCTCTGTCTGCCCATCAGTTCTGATCCACCTCAGTCAGCCCTGCCAGCTGCGGGGCCGTTGCTTCAAAACGCAGCCCCGTTCCAGTTACCCCCCACCCCCCACCCACGTGTCCACCCAGAACACCACACTTGCTCCCGACTGGTCCCAGCATCAACACCAGGCCTGGCCTCGCCCACTTCTCCAACGCCTCTTACCCCCACACGCACGCGCACACATGCCAGCCTTCTGCCCTACTACCTGCCGTGGGCCCTCTGTTGCACATGCGTCACCCCTGTGTCATTCATGGACTGTTCCATGTTTGCAACCAGATGCTAAAGCGTCCGTTCCCCACCAGCCAGCCCCTTTCACCAGGACCAGGGAAAGGTACCAGCCGTCCAGCGCCCTCACGCCTGCCGACCCCTCCAGGCTCGGACAGACACAGCTTCTCCAAGCGCCAGCCAGCCAGAACCGCTGCAAAGGCTTCCTTCACGTTAGGATCTTGGGGTTGAAAGAGAACCCCGAGATTTGCCCACATCAATCCGCCACGAAGTCTTCGAATTTGTGGCTTCAGAGCAAAGAAACTTCTGAGCAAGCTTGGTCCCAGGTTGGAGCAGGTGCAGAGGATTCTGGAAGCTGGCTGCCTCCGCACAGCTGCTGGGGGCCAGACCCCTTCTTTCAGAGCACCCGGCAGGAATGAGTGAATGTAATTCATTTGGTTCCTGTTAAAACGGGGTAGCTGCTGTTAGTACCAGAGAAGATGCTGAGTGAGAGAGAGGCACGGGCTGCAGGGCTTTACCAGGAACGAGAGCCTGGGGAGACCTGGGGGGCATGTAGCCCACACTGCTCACTCCTTCCCTCTCCCTCCCGGAAGGGATCAGCCACATCCTCGGCCAGGGCCCGGGAGGAGGTGCTCAGGAAGGCAGGGGGCCGTGCCCCGGGACCCCCCCCTCCTGCTTCTCGCCCCAGGCCTGGGGGCTCCAGCTGGGAGACCCTTCCTCCCTGTCAGTTCACTCCAGGAACTGAGGACACAGTGGTCTGGGGAGCTCTCCATGCAGAGCGAATCAGACACGGCTCACGACTCAGCCTGCGAAAGAGCGGTTAATACTCCAAACGAGCCCTCACAGGTAGTCACGTGAGGAGACCACAGCCCCACAGTGCAGGTGACAAAGAGGGACAGACCAGAAACCGAGAGCCCCGCAGAGCTGCTTAGGGAGAACAGGGAGGTGGTGTCAGTTGCATGTGGAACAAAAGAAAGAAGTTAATTTTTAAATCTCACTAATTTTATTTTACCTCTCCCAAAACCTCCCCTATTTATCTTTTTTTTGGGGGGGCCGCGTTGGGTCTTCGTTGCTGCACACGGGCAACCAGCAGAGGGATCTTCCCGGACCAGGGCTTGAACCCGTGTCCCCTAGCATTGACAGGAGGATTCCTCACCACGCCGCCACCACGGAAGTCCCTTCCCAGTTCCTCTTAAGAGGCTTGTAGGTATTAAACGAAGGGAAAACAAAGTCATCCTAGGAGGAACTTGCCTGTACCTTTGAGATGCAAATGTCCTATCTGGTCTTCTCAGGAACCCTTATCTCTGCCCTCTTTTTATTTTTTTATCTTTTTAAACTGTCTTCCTTTATTTGTTTATATTTGCAATATGACACAGAACCTCAACAAGAACACACGCACGCTCACAGCTTGGGGAGAGGGAGCTGGGACAAGGTCGCTTGGCAGCTGGGCTGGAAGGACTCCAGCCAGACCCCCGCCCCAGAGTCCGAGGGAGATGGGGGGGAGGGGTCTCGGTGAGTGCGTCGGGGCCCCGAGGGAATGTTACCGGGGAGGCCCCTTGGGACCAGGACCCCCAGCTCCCTCCCACAGAGCTGGCTGGGCCAGGTGCCCAAGGTGGACCTTTGAGCTGAAAGGCCGAGTGTGGGTGTGGGCATCTGCACCGGAGGGTGGGTGGGCATGGTGGGAGGGGCGGGTGGGTGGCAGCCTCAGGACCCTCACCACAGCAGCCCCCATGGGACAGGGTGAAGGTCCAAGCCGCCGACGCCCAGCCCTGCTTCCTTCTGGCTCCCCGCCTGCCCACTCTCTCCCCCCTCGAGATATATACATATATAATGTAGGTCTCTCTCTCTCTCCTTTCTCTCTATTCGACTCTATCTTTATTCTAGGAGACAAAACTCCGGAATTTCTTTTCTCAGTGCAAATGGGGGGGTCTGCCATCTTTTTAAATGCAAATTTTAATAAAGAGAGTAATTTAGAACTTGACTTGTCAAGGATAAATAGAAATCCTAAATGTCTTTTCTGTAAACACTAGTAAAAAAGGTTTAGCCATCTAGATAGGTGACCTTGATTTGTTCCATCTGCCAGAAGCCCGATTTGAATCCAACCCCTTGTAACTGATGGGTTTTATGTTGTACCTGGCTCAGGACTGAAATTGTGGAATGGGAAGTATGAGGCCTCTGTGTGTGTTTGTGTGTTCATACGTATCTATATGTGTGTTGTAGGTGTGTGGTATTGCCAAAAATGAATTCATAAAGGAGCGCTACTTAATTGGCTTTTTAAAAAAAATTAAGCACTTATATATACTCAGAAAATAATCTGGCCAGAATGAATTCCAGGTCCATGTCATCTGGAAAATATTCAGTACTAAACTGATATCTGATATTGGAGGAGGCTTAAGCTTGTTGGTTTCATTAACATAGACACGTCTTTAGAGTCATCACTGTTGAGTATAACATTTCTGTTGTACCTCGGTTTACTGGAGGTCAAATAAAACCTTTATCTGTTACAAATTTGTCAACCAGAAAAGTAACTCAGTGTGAAAAAAAAAAACGTTTAAGGAAAGTAAGATGTATGTTTTCAGTAAAAGAAGGTCGGAGGAATGAGCAAAAACTACTGGAAAGAGCTGTGCATGATCAGGATTTTTTAAGATTGGATTAAATTTAGTTGGGTGAGTGGATTTTGTTGGGAGTGGGCTGAGACAAGACTCGATTTGGTTTCTCCCTCCAAAGTTTTCTTGAAACGCTGCTTTTAATAACAGATAGTATGAGTTTCTTTGCCTTTAAGTGATCTGTATTTGCTTTTGAGATCTTTTGTAGCTTTGGTTAAGGAATAACTATTGTCTCACAGTGACCTATGATCTTATTTGACCAAGTGTTTTAAAACTTTCTGACAAACTTCCCACATACCAAATTTTAGTTAAGTCATTTTTGAATTCCAGCTAACTTTGAGGTACTTGAGAGGGCCCCTGAGGTATCTTAAAGAGAAATGTTGAACTAAGATTATTTGGTATGTTAAGTTAAATGCCATCATTCGTAACTCTGCCTATTGTAACCATGCTTCTTTATCGATTACACTGGTAATCAGATGTTTGGCGTTTTTTAATTAATTAATTTTTGGCTGTGCTCCGTCTTGGTTGCTGTGCACAGGCTTTCCCTAGTTGCAGCCAGCGGGGGCTACTGCTTGTTGTGGTGCGCAGGCCTCTCACTGCGGTGGCTTCTCTTGCTGTGGAGCACCGGCTCTAGGTGCGAGTGGTTCAGTAGTTGTGGCCCGCGGGCTTCAGTAGTTGTGGCTTGTGGGCTCTAGAGCACAGCCTCACTAGTTGTGGCGCACGGGCTTAGTTGCTCCGGGGCATGTGGGATCTTCCCTGACCAGGGTTCAAACCCATGTCCCCTGCATTGGCAAGCGGATTCTTGACCATTGTGCCACCAGGGAAGCCCTGTAATCAGATGTTTAACCATGCCCTTTAAGTCTTTTGTTATTTATAGATATTTTTGTACTCTGATGCTGTTACAAAAAGTGCTTCATCACCAAGGAGATTCATAGAAAGGCTATGGAAGCAGTTACAACAGTTTCACACCAAGATGATGGCTATGCAAGGAATACAACCCATACTGACTTAAAACAAGGAGCTGTCCTGCCCCTGGGGCCCCTAGATCAGGCACCCAGAGATTTTTACTCCCTGACAGGCAAGGTCAACAACGCCCCTACCCAGGCTTGAAGCAGTAACAGAAGACGGACCATTGCCCTTCTGCTTCCCATAAGAATAGGGGAGTAAAATCTCTGCGGGGGTGGGGGGGGTGGGGCGGGGATGAAGCAGGAGGGGAGGGGGCAGGGCACAAGAATGACATAGCCTGATTAGAACCAAATGGGTCCAAGATGGCGGACAAGTCGCCTTCCACTAGACCTTGAGCCTCAGTACACGCTTACTGTAACACAGGAGCAAGCTAAATGACACACCCACAGGCACCACGACAGTTCCAAAGCCAACCGTAAGCATCAAAAAGTGGGCGGCGGGGCTTCCCTGGTGGCGCAGTGGTTGAGAGTCCGCCTGCCGATGCAACGGACACGGGTTCGTGCCCTGGTCCGGGAAGATCCCACATGCCGCGGAGCGGCTGGGCCTGTGAGCCATGGCCGCTGAGCCTGCGCGTCTGGAGCCTGTACTCCGCAACGGGAGAGGCCACAACAGTGAGAGGCCCACATACTGCAAAAAAAAAAAAAAAAAAAAAAAAAGTGGGCGGCGGCCCAATTCCTGGAAATCCCCGCCTCTTCCTGAAATAGCTGGAATATTCCTCCCACTCATTCGCCTATGAAATTACGCACCCCCATAAAAACTGACAACACCATACCCTGGGGCCTTTCTCACCTTCTGAGGAGTGTGTTTCTCTATAAATAAATCTACTTCTTACCTAAAAATAAAAAATCTGATTAATTTTATAACAGCCCTGTGGGATGGGCACTCTGAGCACCCTACTCTGCAGACGGGGATGCTGAGTCTCAGTGGGTTGAGCAGGTCACACAACAGTGAGGTGAGGATCTGAACCGACCCCGGAGCCCTGGCTTGAACTTCCATCCAGGTGTCACTCTGGTCCCTCCAGGAAGATTTCTTTGCTGGTCACCATTAAGCCCTGAGTACTGTTGGTCCCCAGCTCCCACCTTCCCATGTGTTGTACTCGTTTCCCAGTACAAATCACCCAGTGACAAAGCACCACAAACCAGGCAGCTTAAAACAGACATATAGAGACTCGGTCCTGAGGCTGAAAGTCGGAAATCAAGGTGTAGGCGGGGTGCGTCCCTCCCAGGGCTGCAGGACAGGACCTGCTCCAGGCCTCCTCCAGCTTCTGATGTGGCCGCGATCCTTGGAGTCCCTGGGCTCGAGGAGCATCTCCGCCATCATCCGGACATCGCATGGCCTTCTACCTGTGTGTGAGCTGTGAGGCCCAATTTCCCTTTTAAGAACACCTGTCTTTGGATGTAGGGCTTGCCCAATCCAGCAAGGCCTCCTCCTAACTTTGCATCTGCAAAGGCCCTATTTCCACACGAGGTCACGTCCACAAATTCCAGCGGACTTGAACTCTGGGGGGGTACCAGTCACCCCAGGGGGCGGCTGTCCATGGAGCGGTAATCAGGGAACATCACCCCAGGGAAGCCCAGCAATCCTAATACGGGATAGGTGCGTCATTACGCGGAGTGCGGAGGGACCTGAGGCCTGAGGTTGAGTGAAGGGAGCAGTGAGCTCAGGACCAAGCTTCCGGTGAGCAACACGCAGCAACACACCGCGTGGCTCCCATGGCTCCACCCGCGCTCCACCCGCACACGCGTCCGCAAGGATCCACCCCCACCCCTACCCCTACCCCGTAAGCGCGGTTACTGCTGTGGAACGTCGTTAGGAGCCTTCTTTACCATAATCTCTAAAGTTTTCGTTTTTAAACGAGAATGTATTTGTGCTCATTCGGAAGTTACAGTTTACAGCCTTAAGAGCAGGCACCGCTTGCAGCCGTGCGGCTCCCTGCGCTGCCGCCCTCCCGCCAGCAGGGGGCGCCGCCCCGCGCAGCGCGCCGCTCTCCTCCCGGAAGCCTGGCCCCGACCGGAAGTCGCGCGTCGGAGCGTCCTGGAAAGTAGCGGCGTCTACGAGAGCTGCGGCCCAGTTCCCGAGCGGCTACCGGGGGCGCATGGCCCGTGGGAAGCGCCGCGCCGGGCGCGGGCCGCGCCGCGGGCCTGGGGGCGGCGGGGAGGGGGCCCTGAAGCGGCTAAAGCTAGCAGTGGAGGAGTTCGTGCAGGCGACCTCGGAGGGCGAGACCCCCGGCGGCCGCGAGGGGCCCCGGGCTCAGGGACGCGTGCGCCCGGGCGGGAGGAAAAGCCGCAGGGAGTTGAGGAAGGAGAAGCGGCACCTGAGGAAGGCGCGCCGGCTCCAAAGGACGGCCGGCCCCGCGCAGGGCCCGGGCCCGGGCGGCGGCGGAGCGAGCGGCCCCCGGGCGGAGGCGACGCAGGAGGAGGACGGCCAGCCGTCCCCACGACGGGCCTCGCGGCCGTCCGAGGAGCTGCGACCTCCCCCGGTTCCGGCCAAGGCCGGCCAGGCCCAGGCCAGGGGTCCCCTCGGCAGGACCAAGGCCCCCGCAGCCGCAGTCCGGAAACGGGCACTTCTGGCGGCCAACGAGGAGGAGGACCGAGAGATCCGAAAGCTGGAGCGGTGCCTCGGCTTGAACAAGCGCAGAAAGAAGGGCGACGGAAGCTCCGTGCCTCTTAGCTTTGCCCGCGATGGGCTCGACTACATCCTGGGAGCCCTGGACTCTGGGAAGAGTAGTGGCTGGTATGAAAGCAGCAGTGAGGAGGAGGAGGAGGATGCGGGACAGGCACTCCCCGAAGGTGACAGCGAGGACGAACGGGAGCAGCAGGATGCGGAAGACGAAGGCGAGTGGGCAGCAGACGCGGGAGCGCAGAGCGAGGGGGAGGACCCGCAGGTGGCGGGGGCGGGACAGCTGGAAGCCGGAGGAGCGGACCGGAGGGCGAAGGAGGGAGGGAGGAAGAAGAGAGTCCGTTTTGCCGAAGATGAAGACAGGAGTGAAAGTTCCGCGGAGGATGTTGACGCAAACGATAAGGTATTAGATTGTGAACAATCTGAGCCCTTTGGAATTTCCTTCAAAATAACGGGTGGGGGCAGAACACGGGACAGAAGTGACACAGTTGATGTATTGATAATTGTTTGAGCTGAGTATGGATCTGTCGGGTTATTTAAATTTCCACAATAAAGAGACAGGGAGAAAACATCCCTAGAGACCTTTCTATCCCAGGGCCTTACCGGCCCTTCCCACCGTTGTCCTAAGGCCACATCCTCACTCGGTTTACTGCCTCAGTCTCCAAACCTGACTTTGACTCCCCTCCCCCAAGCTTTGTCCCCACCTCCCGTGTACCCTGGGGACTCCTGCAGCACCCCTGAGTCACCTCTGCCCACACCTAGTCCTTTTTCTGTCCAGTTGCTCCTGCGGTGGATCCTTCTAAAACACAGAGCTGATCTCCGAGACTCCCTTGGATAGTCTCACACTGACGACCAGGTTTAGAACCCACAGCAGAGCAGACAAGGCCTCACGCGCCGGCCCCTTGCCTGTTAAAACAGCTTCACCTGCACACGCATCTTGAAGGCGGCCTTATGGCATTGCTTGTGTTTCCTTCTCCACTTCTCACCTTTTCACCCTTCTGCCTCTGAGTATGTTATTTCTTCTGTCTGCGAGGCCTTTCCTCGATTTCTCACTGTTGGTGTTTATCTGTTAAGGTCAAACATCTTGGGGAATCTTTTCCCCTCCTGAAGGATATGAAGTGTCTTTCATTTCTGTCCTTGGTGCCTTAGCACCTGGCACTCTGTGAGCAGTGCCCAAGTGCTATCAGTTCCTCTCTTAGCACTTTAAGTTTTGACTATTCCCAAGTCTCTTTCACAGCCTGTGGCTGTGTAACTGACATACTAATGGGTGTCTTAAGATGAAGTTTCTGTGTATGAAAATGTGCTTTCTCCAGCTAAGCTTAAAACCTTACAGCAAGGATCATGCCTTACAAATGTCTGTCTCCTAAAGGCTTGTCAGGGAGTGTTGGTCGGTGGTAATGACTTGTAATCCTCTCAGTTGAAAATCTAGGAAATAGTGAGCAGTGGGTTGATTTTGATTTTATCATGTAAATTTAGATACTGGCTTTGACAGGTTTGAAATTACTTTGGACCGCTTTTTCTCCAAAACTGGTGATACACTTAATTTAGGTGTTTGTGTGCTGCCGTGCTTACTGTGAACTGAGGCTGGCAGAAGTGTAGAATACGGGGCTCTGTCGGGTAGACAAGGGGGGCGGGGGGCGCAGCCAAGTCTGAAGAGTTACAGAGGGAAAAGTAAGGTGATGAAATGCAGTGTTGATGTTAATGTAAATAATGATGTCCATCGTCCGGGCCATGGCGTGCTTGTCCAGGACTAGTGTGGGCACTCGGGAAATAGCTGATGTTCATGAAGCAGCGGTAGTCAGTAGTGACAGCCTCTCCCAGTTCTTGGGAATTTAATATCTAAGTGTGAGTGTAGCAAGGGGAAAGGTGGGGTGTAGTCAATGTACATTTTTTTGTAATTTATTTCTGTCCTTTCAAGCAGAGTCTTTGTGAAAATGGTGGAAAGTACATCCCACCCCACGTGAGGCGAGAAGAGGAGACAGTGGATGCCCAGAAAAAGGAAGAACTAGAGAGGCTCAAGAAACAGGTCAAAGGTCTGATTAACAGGTAACCTCGAGACAGTGTATTGTGTAACTTCAAGAGATTGTCTCTTTTCTAAAAACACAGGAATGGTTCTGGGAATTAAACCAAAGCCTGCGTTGCCTTTTTTTTTTTTTTTTTTAATTTCTTTTTAGTTAAAACACTCTTCTTGGTGCATCCTGGAATTTTACTGAACATGCCATTTGATGTTCAGAGCTAGCACAGCTGCAGTGCATATACATCCTCCCATCCCTACCCAGTAGAGCCCTTATCTCCATGTTAGGAAATAAAAGATTTTTGTGCCAGCAGAAAATGGAAAAGTTGGGATTTTTTCCAACAGTACATACGGATATGCTAACGATGGTTCCCTCCCTCTGCCCGGGGAGATTGGGTAAGGATATCAGTGGAGTATCCTCATCACAGTCTCTGTGGTCTTGAAGGGAATCTTGCATGTGCCTTACTGTGGCTGCATTTCAGCTGGAAGGACAGCAGTTAATGTTATTTGAAGATTCCAGAAGATTCTGTGTTATGTACATATATACTGGATTGTTGGGACAGGATAAGAATTGTTCGTGAGGCAAATACATACACAAAAGAGGATCTATTGGAAGTATTAATAACTTTTTCAATTTTTTTTAATTGACCTAAAAAAACAATTCTTGATTTGAAACAGCACTGTCGCTCTGTCTTTCCAACTGTCTGCAGGCTGAGTGAGCCGAACCTGGCCTCCATCAGTGGCCAGCTGGAGGAGCTGTACATGGGCCACAGCAGGAAGGACATGAGTGACACTCTGACGGGCGTCCTCCTGAGCGCCTGCGCCCCGGACGCGGCCATGCCCGCCAGGCTGGTGATGGAGCATGTCCTCCTGGTCAGCATTCTTCACTGCACAGTTGGCATCGAGGTAGGGCTGCCTCTCTCCAGCCATTAGCTGTCCAAGTGCTGCTTGTGTCAGTGATCAGCTGACACGGCTCAAGGCCACCTTGTCTGTATTGTATCATCCTAAACCACACTCGGCAGCTACGTGACGTTGGCCAACTTCTGCTTTTGCACTTGGTCCCTTCTGACATGGCCTTATTGTCTGTTCTGTCACTCTGGGCTGACGTCGTGGACTTGCCTTCGTCTTCTCTGTACTCCCCATGGAAACAGTGACTGTTTCAGCTGTTCAGAGCACAGGGCTTTGTGTTGAGCGAGAGGCCACTGGAATGTGAGGTAAAACTGGGCACGAAGCGAGGGGACACGTGACAGTGCCTGGGCTTGGAGCCTCGGTGCCCCTGGGTGGGCCACAGACCTGCCCGTGTCTGTGAAGTGGGGCCTTTGTCGGGATTCAGTGGACACCGTGTCTAAAGCATCTCCTGTGCGGTGCCTGGTACCCAGTAGGTGCTGCTGAGGAAATAGCATCCCCGTGCCATCCGGCCCGCCCCGTGTTCTTGGTCCTTGGTCAGTGACCCTTGTGTTGGCATCAGGGAGGCCCACCTCGTCCCAGGTCCTCTTTTGTCACCTCCCACAGTGAGATCATAACCTTCCTGGTCAGCATCCACTCCCTCCGTGTGGCTGCTTGCAGGTTGTTGAGGGAAATCGGCCTGGTTACAGGACTTTACACTGAGGTAGACAGACGCATGAGTGAATGAGTAGGCCAACGAGGTGTAGTTTTCCAGATGAGCTTTATATTTACCAGAGAACTCGATGATCCCTTAGGATCTTTATGTGGGACAGTGTCTTTTAGTGGGTGGTGCTGAGCCCCTCTGCCTTCCGATTGCCCTCCTCCCAGGAACAGGCCTCGGCAGCAAAGTGTCAGTGCAGGTCTGATCCCCTGGTGTAAGTCCTCCGGACTCCCAGCAGGATGAGTGGGGCGGGTGTTTATTTAGCCCCGCTTTGCAAACGCAGCAAAGCCCCTGAAGGCCGGGCTGTGGACGGTTCCCGGGGCCTTGCCTCCCCCTGCCGCGCACTCTTCACACCCCTCCCACTTTTCTAGGACTTGCTCACAATTATGGTCTTGAAAACCATTTGGGGTCTTACAGGGTGGGGCTGTCCAGGGCTTACTTTAAAGAGCACAGACTTTCCAGAAGGCCTCCTCCTTCCATCTGCTAGAGGCTCAGCAGTGAGGGCAGTGGTGGGCGGGGAGACCAGCCACCTGGTGATCTGCCTGCCCACCCTCCCCTGGGGGCTTGGTCTGGCGGCTTCAGGCTGGGAGGCTGGGAGCATATGCAGGAGCCTGGCCCGAGGAAGTGCTCGTTAAAGTAGAGTTCCACCCTTCCTCCCACTGCAGGCTCCGTCACCCTCCCGAGAGAAACCTCTGGGCCACGCTTTTCTCCTCTAGCCGAGGTCATATTGTAAGAACTTTCTGTCAAAATTTTATTGAAATTTATTTTTTATTTATCTATTTATTTGGCTGGGCCGGGTCTTAGTCACAGCACGTGGGATCTTCATTGCAGCGCGCGGGCTTCTCTCTAGTTGTGGCGCAGGAGCTCTGGAGCACGGGCTTACTTGCCCCACGGCACGTGGGATCTTAGTTCCCCGACCAGGGATTGAACGCACATCTCCTCCATTGGAAGGCAGGTTCTTAACCACTGGACCACCAGGGAAGTCCCAATGAGAACTTTGAAAGATGGCAACTCTGGGACCTCCTGGGCACAGGGAGGCGAGGACAGAGGAGGGGGCGTGGGCCCCGAGACCTCTGAACAGCAAACTCTCCTCAGCTAATCTGCACCAGCTGTTTAGGGAATCGCATAATTGTTTGATTTCTAAGGGCTGTGAGTCCCTTCTCTTCATTACAAAGCGTAATGGAATCACTGGATCCCTTCCTAGTGCCCTGTGATGGCCACGATTCATTCAGTGCCATTATAGGCTGTCCTAGTGCACCCCCGTTCCTCCTGGACCATCCCGGAGTAGTTGACAATCAAAACGGTTTCAGCGCCTGCCGATGCAGGGGACGCGGGTTCGTGCCCCGGTCCGGGAAGATCCCACATGCCGCAGAGGGGCTGGGCCCGTGAGCCATGGCCACTGAGCCTGCGCGTCCGGAGCCTGTGCTCCGCAACGGGAGAGGCCACGACAGTGAGAGGCCCGCGTACCGCAAAAAAAAAAAAACGGTTTCAATACATACAGCATTTCATTGAGTTACAGAAAAGGCCGTAGACCCTGACCACGTACACAATATCAGGAATCCCCTGCATTTGAAAATGCGAGATTATTGGTCCCACTTCTCATTTAAACCTTCACTAACAGCGTGAGGGACAGCTGAAGTGATCATTCAGGGCAAGTCGTGAGGGGACTTCAGCTGGCGAGAGCCACTAAATAAAACTGGTGCCACAGGAGGCTGAGCTGTCCCAGCTCTGGTTCCACTGAACTTCTCTCAGGCCTGTGATGAGAAGAGCATCCTCACAGGCATCCATGCAAAGAGGAACTTGAGTTACGAAGCCATGGTGTCAGTTACTGAGTTGCTTCTGAGTCGTTGAAAAACCAAAACTCAGGTCTGTGCAGATTTGTGTTAAAATCCCCAAGTCAGAATTAATTTATTTGTTTAAATAACTTTAGCAATGTGAATGTTATTCTTATTTTTTAATGCTATACTCTTTTATTTTGAAGACATTAACTGGAATCTGTGATTTTGACAGATTTTGATATGATTAAATAATTCCATTTGTGTGATTGAAAACATACCTGAGTATATTTTATACCTGAATTTTTCTTGATGTCCGCAGAATTCTAATTTCTATTTTAAAGTTGTATTTGAATGTAATATAGTGGTCATGGTAGGAGAGTATATTCTTCAGGTTTATCTTTAGAGAAGAGGCTTGAATTGGGAGTTAATAGGTTAAAGTTGTTTATTCTCAGGTCTTCAGAAACTAAAGAACACATCCAGTCTGTCAGAGCCGCCTCTGCGAAGTCACTCTTCCCTCCTGCCGATCTGGTGCCTTTCTCTGGACTCCTCTAGCATTTATGTTGTTGCGTTTTGGCAGTGACATGTGTATGTTTTCCTGCGACAGCCTGTCTGGTTGATCTCATCCTCACCCGGGATTTTAACTACCACTCCTGCTTCTATAACCAGCCCTGCCCAGGTGTCCTACGGTTCAGGCTTTATAAGGCTTTTTTTTTTTTTTTTCCAACCTCGTGTCTTGTGGGATCTCAGTTCCCCGTCCAGGGCTTGAACCTGTGCCCCTGCGGTGGAAGCGCGGAGCGCTAACCGCTGGACGGCGGGGAAGCCCGTAGGTTACAGTGATTCCGCCCGGCCTGCACTTCTGCTGCTGCTCACGGATGAACCGTCCCCGTCAGAAGCTCGGTCAGCTGCTGTTACGCAGAAGGTTGATCTTTCCCGTCCAGTGAGTGGCCACACCCTCTAGTTCTGTCGCTGGGTGACTCTTGGGCCCGGTCCGCCTTCAAGGGTCCAGCACGGCTGCGGTGATCCGTGTCCCCGTGTCTCAGCTGGAGAGTCACCATCGCTCTGCCACCGCCAGGCGCCCACTCCTGCCGTCTCCCTCCCGGCCCAACCAGGCTGGAGAAGTGAGCCGTGTTGGATAGTAGTGCATTTTTAGAGACACGGATGTGTCCTTAACATTCTTGACGATTTCATTTTTCCAAGGGACCAGAATGGCTGCTGGCCGGAAACAGCACCTCGTTGATTTTAAGGACAAGAAGGTGCACTTCGAGGGAAGGTGTGCGCTGGGCGCCCTGCTCTGCGTCATGTGTGGTGTGGTGTTTTCCTCTGTAAAGCACTGGGCACTCACACTTGTGTTTTTAGAGGTTTTGCCCTGCTGGAGTTTGTATCCTGCCACATGTACATTTTATGTGTTCATTTTAAAAGTATTAATTCTTTCAACATGCGTTGACGTTAAAAGAAGGACCCCTGAGAATGACTTGCTAACTTGATTCTTACACGTTTGCAGTAATGTTTTTTCTGTTCTTCATCCAGGTCGGTGCGCACTTTTTGGAGGCTGTGGTGAGGAAGTTTGCTGACGTCTATAAAAGCGGATGTGACGGGAAAGAGTGTGACAACCTGTTCGCCATCATCGCCCATTTATATAACTTCCACGTGGTACAGTCTCTCCTCATCTTTGACATTTTGAGAAAACTTATTGGAACTTTCACAGAAAAAGATATCGAACTGATCCTGTTAATGCTGAGAAATGTGGGCTTTTCCTTGAGAAAAGATGATGCTTTGTCGCTTAAGGAACTGATCACTGAGGCACAGGCCAAAGCCAGCGGGGCAGGCGGCAAGTTCCGGGACCAGACCAGGGTATGAGTGCGTCACCTGCCCGGCTTCCTAACTGCCTAAATGCTCACACTGACCAGAACTTAAACATGAGTATCTGGGGTGAATATTGCATTTCGTCTCGTAATGAGCCCTGTTATCTTCTGCCTCATCTGGTTTTGTGGCTTAAGAATCGATCTATTTAACATTCAGCCATTCAGAAGAGGTTTACTGGGAAGGCCTGGGGCGAGGGGCTGGGGGGGTTAGCCCGCTCGGCCTTCTGGCTCTTCCACTTGGCAGCGAAGGGACCAAGGCTTCCAGGCCTCGGTTTCCCCGTCTGGAAAGTGGGGCTCATGGTGGCTACCTTGTTTGCTGGTCTGCAGACTGAGGGGCACGGGAGAGTCATGGGAACCCCTGGGCGGGGCGGGGGCTCATTTGAGGAAAAAGGAAAGCGTCCCTGTGGGGAGGCATCAGGGGCGCAGGGCAGGGGCCAGCCTCGGGGCCTCGTAAACCTCGCAGGGAACTGGGATTTTATCCCAGAGGCACGTGAAGGGCTCTGAGCAGGTTTTCATGCTGAGGTCACTTTGGCTACAACTAGGAAAGAGAGAAGCCACCTCGGGGGTTGGGGCGGTGATCAGCAGAGTTGCAGTGGACGTGGGTTTAGGACATAGCGGTGGCCAGACTTGGTGGGGGGAAAGGGAGAGAGGGAGGGGTCAGAGGTCACCCCGGGTACCAGCTTGGCCCTGCAGGTGGGCAGTAGTTTGTTCAGGAGACACAGACTGGACAGGAAGACTGGCCCATTTTTGAAATGCTGAGGTGAGGGCTCGGGTTAGCTGTGAGGAGGGAGGTGTAGGCCGAGCCCCCTGAGGGTCCTGGGGGCCGCAGAGGTGGTGGTGGAGTTGCTGTGTAAGGGGGCGGGGTGCGGCTCCAGGTGGGAGAGGAAGATCATGGGGGCGGGTCCCAGCGAAGACCCTGTCCCTGTGTTGAATGCTCGGGGGTCACATTTAAAACAGACACGGCAGACACAGGCATTTGGCTCGGGCTGGCCTGAAGCTGGAGGAGCTGGGCTGGGGGGTGACTGGGTGGGTTTGGAGTCCTTGAGCGCTGATGGAAACGCCCTAAAACTGATCGTGGTGACGGCTGCACAGCCCCGAGTGTGCTCATGGACGCTTGGCATGTGAGTTATGTCTCAGCTGAAGTGAACGTTGGGGGGAATCTCAGACAGGGTCTGTGGGAAGTCTTTGTGCTGTCCTTGAAAGTCTTTTCTAAGTACAGTGTCATTTCCAGTTTAAAAGTTAGGAAGGCAAAAAGGCCAGGAGTGGGAAGCCGTTGCAGACGCGGTGGGGAAGGAGGGCGACTGAGACCAGGGGCCGGTGGCGGTGGAAGGGCGTGCGGCCCGGGCGTGTTCTCGGCCCGCGGGGCGGGGGAGGGATTTCTGTTCTCGGCCGGGGGAGGCCTGGGCGGCTGCTGAGGTTGGTGCAGCCTCTCCCCGAGGCGCCCATGCCCCGTCCTCGGCAGCGGTGACCACGTGCGCAGAGGCGGTGTCTTTCTCCCCACGGTGAAGCGTCCTTGGTTTCCGGCATTTGAGATAATGGCTTTTCGCGTCTGTCTCCAGGTCCGCTTCATGCTGGAGACGCTGCTGGCCCTGAAGAACAACGACGTGCGGAAGATCCCGGGCTACGACCCCGAGCCCCTGGAGAGGCTGCGGAAGCTGCAGAGAGCCCTGGTAGGCACCCTCCTTCCCGGCCGCCTGCGCTGCTGGGTCTGCGCCAACCCCTGTGACGTTCCGGAGGGCGGTGGAGCCACAGGTCAGGTGCCCGCCCGGTTAGCGAGGGTTCCCAGACGTGAAAGGCAACTGCACGTTTCTGTGGGGCGACCGTCCCTGTGAGCTGCGTGCGCCCCATGCCGAGTCCTCCGCCCTTGGCCGCGCCGGAGAATCGCGGGAGGACCTCTGATCACTTTGGGACAGGGCCCGGGATGGGGTCCCACCAGGACCAGGGAGGCCAGCCTGGGGAGTGGGGGGCTCGTCTGTTTAAGCTCCCCAGAGCTTCTCAGCGCGGGGCCCCCGGGCGAGCCCTTCAGCCCGGGCACCAGTCAGACCCAGAGTGGCCTCCTCCGGCAGGTCCCAGGCACCTGCTGGTGGAGTCCTCACTGCCGTCCCTTGGGGTGCGCCTCCTGCCCGGGTCTGAGCCTCTCTCCCCACCCCTGCCCCGTGACAGCTGTTCTAAGGCAAGTGTTTTGGGTGATAGACCCACAAAGCCCAAGCACACACCCTGAGAGTTTACCTCGAACTTTGGCATTATTCCTAACTGGTTAACTGTCCCAGCCGTCAGTGACCCATCACAGCTTTCACGCACCAGAAACGCTGTTATCTGAGCTGGAAAGAGCCAGGGTCGCTGTCGCCCAGGCTCTGAGCTGCCGCGGCCTCCCCTGGCTGCTGTTTTCTCAATCAGCTGCGAGGCGCTGGCTCAGGGACAGAGACTCAGCTCCGCGTCTCCTGGGACAGCGTCCTGAACGCCGAGCGGACCGGGCGCTGGTGGATCGTGGGGTCCGCGTGGAGTGGCGCCCCGATGATCGACAGCGGTCAGCAGAAGACCCCGCGGAAGCAGCTCACGGGGACGGTACGTGACCCGTGCTCGCCACCACCAAGCGTGTGACCTGTGTCCCCACGTGGCTTTCCCTGGGTTTATTTGAAGACCTTATAGAAGTAGCTACTGCTTTGTGATATCATTTAATTCCATTTCTGTTACTTTTAAAGTCTCAAAATGTTAGGAAAGGGACTTAAACGTTGAGTGGAGTGAGGGGAACGCAGGACGATCACTCAGGCATCCTGGCCTCCCCGCCCTCCTGGCCGTCCTGCCCCCACCCCCCACCCCGCCGGCCGCAGCGCTTACCTCTCCTTCATCCCACTGGTACTTGGACTGGCAGACCCGCTGCTCCCGCGAAGCCTCCCGGATCAAGCGGTTTTCTCCTTTCGGGCTTGCTTTGCCTCTTGCTGGTTTTCCTTTGTGGGGGTGCCGGGGGGTTTGCTCAAGAATAAAGGGTCCGCGTTTACATACGTGTATTTACGCATACCTTACAGTTAGCCTGGGGTCAAGCCACAGAATTACACATATTACTTCTTAGAAACTTAGTAACTACGCTTAAACCAAAGAACAACTTTCACTGAAACGTCTGTATGATCTACGCCCGGTCGTCCCTCTTTCCAGGTTAGCTCGAAGATACTGGAGCTCGCCCGAAAGCAGAGAATGAACACCGACATCAGGAGAAACATATTTTGTACAGTTATGACTAGTGAAGACTTTCTGGATGCATTCGAGAAGCTCCTGAAGTAAGCCTGTGTGCGAGCCTCTGCTCTGTTGTTGAGTTGGGTGCCACGTCGTGGAGGCCGGGGCCCTGCCCCTTCCCACCCGCTGCCCCACGCCACGGGCTGCAGTCCATCTCCTGCTAACTGACCGCTGGTAGCTCCAGATTAGGACAGTTTATGATCTGTTTTGATTGGAAAAAATCAGGTGACCACCTGACAGTTCCCGGTGGCTGTTGTTTGTCATGAGTTGCTTGAAACCTTTCTGTTAAAGTTGTCTTTCCGATTACGTCTAAATTAAACTTCCTGTTTAATTTAGTTGTAATTGTATTTCAACTTCTATAATTAGTTGTAATGAGATTGAAAAGTATCTGTGTACAAAGTACGTCTAAAAAGTCTAATTAATTTTCCTTTATTTGCTTCAAGTTCAGAAGGAAATGCAGGGGAAATGCTGTAGGACTACGAATCCTTGTCCACGGTCAACACCGTGCGCTAAAAGGATGGATTTTACTGCGTGCAAACCAGACCATACGTTTTCGAGAAAAAAAAAAACAAGAAGGGCCCACAACTGAGGCCCTGTTTCTTGTCGGTCGGTCACCAGTGACAGGCCTTTGTAGAGCCTGGGGTCACCTCATTCTGCCACGTTGTTGGAAACCCTGAGGCCAGAGGCTGGGGCACGGCCTGGAGCTCCAGTCCTGCTACCTGGCCCTGTCTACTCGGCCCACTTAACCAAACTGCCAGACAGGATGTGTTCCTCTGAAAGATTTCTGCCTTCAAGCTGTTAAAATTTGGCAAATTGAAGGTTTAGCCCTTGCTCTTCTTGTCTTACAGGCTGGGGCTTAAGGATCAGCAGGAGAGAGAAATCGTTCATGTCCTCATTGACTGCTGTCTGCAAGAGAGAACGTACAACCCTTTCTACGCGTTTCTGGCGGGCAAGCTCTGTGACTACGCAAGAAGCTTTCAGGTGACAGCTGGGAGGCAGGCTGCCTGTGTCCCACTCTCCTGTCTAACCACTCTGGCTGACTCGGCCCACCTGGGATGCGGGCCCTGAGTCAGGGGCCACCCCGGCCAAGAGCTGTGTGCAGAGGGTCGCACAACCTGAGCCGTGTCCCCATGTCACCTTTCCCTGTCACAAATGAGGGGTCACGACCCACTTAATCGGCGAGTGCCTCTGGTTTATGTTGCACCATCTTTTTCTAATGTTTCTGCTGATTTAAGGGAAAATACTGTAATAGAAAGAAATTACTGTGAAGCTATTTCAAACTACTGTATATGGGAAAGGAGAGTGTAGTTGCTTCTAAAAAGTCTTGATTTTTAGGATATTTTAAGTAAATGAATACAGTACCTTTGGATTATATTTTTAGTGATTTATTCTAATAATTTGTTGAATTTTACCTTTTTTTATTGTTGTTTTTCTTTGTTTTATATTAGATGACATTCCAGTTCAGCATATGGGACAAATTTCGGGACTTAGAAACTCTGCCAGCCACTAACTTCTCTAATTTGGTTCACCTGGTGGCCCACTTGTTGAAGACCAAGTCACTGCCGCTTTCCATTCTAAAGGTGTGTGTAATGTGCGAGCTGACTTGAAGCGCTGAAAGTGATAGCGTACGCTTGAGCCTTGAGCCCCGGGGGTGCGCAGGGGCACCGACCCCCTGCACAGTCGTAGCCTGAGTGTAACTTTACAGTCGGCCTCCGAATCCTGGTTCCACACGTGAGGATTCAACCAACTTTGGAGCGTGTGGTCCTGCAGTGCATATTTAGTGGAAAATGTCCTCATGTAGGTGGACTGCACAGTCCAAAGCCGAGTTCAGGGGCCAAGTGTAATTCTGTATGTTTGGTACCTTAAGAATATGCATTTCCTTAGATCCTGACTCACCTGGAAAACACTCTCATTATCCGACCATCATAGGAAATCACCAGATGAGCACGCGGTGTAAATTTGCCTAGTAGCTCAAGGCGCCATCACAGTTGTCTGCTCCTTTACGTGAATCAGTCTCGGGACTTGCGGTGCGTGTACAGGCCATCATGAGTCCCGCGGCGGCCGCTGCTCTGTCAGGAAGAAGTGGGGATGTGGGAGCTGTACAGAAGCTGTGCTTCTGCCACTCCTCCCTTGGCTGTGGCACGTCTTTTAGAGCAGGGGCATCCTTGCCCCTGTTGAATTCCCACGTTGACTCGCCAGAGACGATGAAACGCAGATGCTCTGGAGGTGGTCCGGGGTGGGCAGCGAAGCCTAGACATGAGAGGCGAGTCACGGTGGCCTGGGCAGTAGGACCTCGGGGGTCTGGGGGTCCTGAGGGTGTGGACTGTGGGAGAAGCTGAGGGGCAGGGATAGCTGGGGGCCCGGCCTCTTGCCTTCCGCTTCCTGATCCTTGGGACAGGCTTGGCTGCGGTTTCCCGTCTGTGTTTATGTATTTGTTCACCAGAGCGCTGGTCGAGTTAACTGCATGTTCCTTAGAGATGTGCCCTTGGGTTTTGGCTACTGTACTGAAAATGAGGGCCAGAGCCTCGTCCCACATTCCAGAACTGGGGAGAACTTAGAGCACGGAGAGCTAGTGCCTTCTCCTTGCTGGGGGGAGTCTTGCCTTCGGTTCACTTGAATTTGATCTCAGAATGGAACAGGATGTGGCGTGTCCCTCAGATGCAGCAGGTCCTGGAGACTCCTTGAGGCAGCCCGGCCCCTCCGTACCTCACGGGGCTCTGGCTGTAGGCAGCACTGTGGCTGTAGGTGCCTGCATGTGGTTAACCAGGCTTTTGATGTCCTTTTACAGTTATTTAATTTGGCATAAGGTTGAAATTTATCCATGTTGATATCTGCAGTTCTGTCCTTAGATTTTATTACTGCTGTATAGTATTCCACTGTATAGGTATACTATGATTGTTATATATAGGAATTAGTCTCTTCTGGGTCTAAATTGTGTGTGTGTGTGTGTGTGTGTGTATGTGTATGGTTTTAATTAGGGGATAGTTTATTTAAGGCATGGAGATAATCTACGTTTCAACTCCAGGAATGAGATTCCTGATTCGCTAGGTACCCATCAGCCCCCTGGACCTGACTCAGCACTGCCGAGTTGCTCTCACCAGTGGTGTGCACGCCCTGCAGCAGTGCACCAGCGGTCCCAGGGCCCCGCGTCAAATGACAGCTGTTCATTTTATAAAACTGGAAATAGCCTTAGTTGAGGGGCAAGGGGAGCAATAGTTTTTTACTCAAACTATAGTCAGAAATCACTGCAGAGTTGGCTCCACAGTGTAACTTTATTTTTTATCCGGACTGTTAGGTCGTTGAATTCAGTGAATTGGACAAACCCAGAGTCCACTTTTTACGAAAAGTGTTACATATGCTGCTCATGGAAACGGAAGTTGAAGACCTTGGTTTAATTTTTGCAAGGTTTGTTCCCAGCTCTTTCGATAAAACATGTGGGAAAGAGGAGAGAAATTGTTTTCACCTGTGTTGTTTTATAAAAGCAAGTTCGTTGTACTTACGTGTAGCTTTTCAGTTTTAATTTTAATAATATCCTGAACATTAATTTGGGGAACGTGAGACTTGCCTAATAGCAAACAGAAAATGATTTCTGACAGATAGGATATTAAGTTCTTATTTGAGAATTCTGACCAGATGGAAACTAGGTATGTCCCCTGCTTCGGGGTCCCTAGGGCTGAGACGGGGGCCGGCTGGTCACTGACACGTGTCCCTTCCTCCTCAGGGTGTCCGACAGCCCCGCGCTGGGCCTGCTGCGGGAGAGCCTGAAGCTCTTCATCAGCCACTTCCTGCTGAAGGGCGGGCAGGCCCACGGGGGCGCCAAGGAGGCCAGCGCACTGCGGGAGAGAGCCGAGCTCTGCACCGGGGCCCTGCAGGGGAGGGCGTCCCTGAGGCCGTAGCCAGGGCCTGGGGCCAAGGGGTGCTCATTCGCCTGCGATGTGGGGCCGCAGCACAGTCTGTCGTATTTAAAATACTCTTATTTTGGGGCTTCCCTGGTGGCGCAGTGGTTGAGAGTCCGCCTGCCGATGCAGGGGACACGGGTTCGTGCCACGGTCCGGGAAGATCCCACATGCCGCGGAGCGGCTGGGTCCATGAGCCATGGCCGCTGGGCCTGCGCCCCACAACGGGAGAGGCCACAGCGGTGAGAGGCCCGCGTAACGCAAAAAAAAACAAAAACAAACCAAAAAACAACTCTATTTTGGTCCAAGGTTTTACGGTATTTGTGTTTTGAACTGTCTTCAAATACCTATGTTTATATCTCTAGGAGGCAGGGGAGAGGGAGGGAGGGAGGGGCGGGCCCCGGGCAGCAATGATGCTGCCCAGGGGGTGTGCCAGTGCCTAATTTTCTAACAGACAAGCCTCTAGAGGGTGCAGTTACAAAGAAATGGATGGCGTTTTTATTTATCTTTTATGTATTGGTTAAAAGTTCAGAAACCGTCAGTTAAACTTTCCTGAGGTTTGGTTGATTATTTCAAGTACTTGGAAGGCACGTGTTCTGGAAGAGTCAGCAGTTGACTCAAGCCTTGCAGGTGTGGGTGCAGCACAGCGGGGGGACGATCCTGGTTCCTCACCTGAAGTTCTGACGTGGGAAAGGACATCTTCCTTCCCCGCGAGTGTCTGTCACTTAGACCCATCGAGTCCAGGTGTGATGCACCTTCCCGAACAACCTTGAAGTCACCAGACGGACACTGGACACAGCAGGTGCCGCCTGCTGAGCGGTGTTCTCGGGATATAAACACGCACGGACGGAACCGCCTGCGAGGGATGCACGTTCAGGATGCACCTAAGATATAGCGGCTCTCTCCCTCCCTTCCTGTGCTCATGGACAGAGAAAAAGCAGATGAAGCAAAGTGTTCATTGTTGGGTGAAGTTTATACACATGAAGTATATTTTTATAGTTTTTCCTTAAGTGTTAAGTTATTGCAAAATAAACAATTTTCATAAAGCATTCATAATGCAGAACACATTCTTCAGAGGTCTAAAACGTTCCAGTGTCTTTTCATGAAAATAACCTAATTCAAATCACTTCTGCCCCTTTTGTAAAAAATAATAATAATAATTAGGCCTTACTGTAAAGCAGTGACACTGCTTCTGTTGGTTTACTTCACTGGTGAGGTGCGCCTGGGTTAGCGGGAAGAGCCGGAAGGGATGGAGGGAAGGCCCTGCTTGTTGACCGTGACCAGAGCCTGCGTCCTGGGCCTGGGTGGCAGTGGCATCAGTCACCGAGAGCTCTGGGCACAAGGCTGCTGACCTGTGGGCACAGACAGCATCCCGGCCGAGATGTCACGGCAGGATGCTGTGCGTCCCCTTCAGGTGTTACTTGGTGTGGCGGGATTCAGCACCCGACATTTGCTCTTGACTCTCAGCCCGTCTGTAATTCAGTTTCAACTTTTCCAGTTGTGTGTGTGGCTGTTTTTTGTGCTCAGGCTGTGGTGTCTCTGAATTACGTCAGCTCAAAGCCTCTCTTTAGGAGGACCCGAGTAAGAGTTGGGACTTGGTCGCAGTCAACGTTTGCTGGGGGCCTCCTGGGTGCCACACGTGGAGCTGAGACCTGGGGCAGCTTGAAGGGTTCAAAACCATCATTTAAGTTTAACAGGACAGGTCCTGTAGTCAAAGAGTGATGGGGACAGCCAGCTGTTCCCAGTGCTCAGGGACGGAGAGCTTTTCAAAGGACGTGACATTGGGACGTGGCGTGCTCTTCCAAGAGGGGCTGAGGGGGCACTCGGAGGACACGAGGGCACCAGCAGGGGGTCGAGAGTGTGGAGCCTGGCCGTGTGGGGCCCTGGGACCCAGGACAGACAGCACGACAGGCACTTGCAACCTGGTTGTGAAGGACCACTTTCTCCGTGCTGAGGAGTTGGGGATTTATCTGCTCAACCATAGGAAACCATCGAAGGATTATTGCCAAGGAAGTTAGATCATCGAAGTTGTGTTTTCAAGAATATTGCTGGACAAAGGAAGGTGGTGGGTCAGCATGTGGGCAGGCTGGTGGCAGAGACCAGGTAGGTGGTCCTCGTGACCTTCCAGGCGGAAGTGATGATTCCGGCCTAGGAGAGCAGCTGTGCGAAGGAAGACTGGAGACGTTTCCGATGGACACGCACGGGAAGTTGGTGCCTTTCAGTGAAGAGGGGTAGGGGCGCGGGTGAGGGGCAGTTCGGGACGCCCCCGGTGGCTTGTCAACATCGGGGTCGGGGTTGAGGGTGCAAACACACCACTGGAGCTGGGGCCTCAGGGCGGGGAGTTGGAACCCCTCGAGGAGACTTGAGTTATGAGGAGAAAGCCAAGACCAGGATGCTGGGCGCTCCTCGTGCAGAGAGCAGAAACCGAGGGAGGGCCTGGAAACAGGCCCGGGAGTTGGGCTTTGGGGATTATCAGCCAGCAATTCAGACCCATCCTGGGGGTGGTAGCTCTGTAACAGCGGAGGCAACTTCAGGCAGCAACCATACGTGAACAAAGACGCTGTGAGCCTCTGGGGGCCTCACGTCTTCCCCGAGTGCGAAGCACTTCGGATGCACGAGCAGGTGTGTAGGGAACACCTCCATGCACACGTGTTCAGAGAGTGTAACGAAAGGTCAGTAAAACTTAGATTTTCTTGGGAAAGTAATATTGGCCTGGGAATCGGGAGTTTTCTCTTTCTCACCCTTACATTTCGTATCACATCATATTCTACATTGACAGAGCTGGCGGGAAAGGGGTCAAGTTCACAAGATGACGTTTATCTTGAGTGGCGCCGAATAAACGATGAAAAATGATGTTTGCATGATAAGACGATGAAAGGGAAAATGGGGACCAGTTTAAAATGTTCTAAGCCTGCAAAGGTGACTTCAGAGCACCCAGGGTTGTGTGTGTTTGGAAAACAATGCCTTGTGTGTGTCCACCGGCCTCGGGAGCAGAGCGATTTTGACCTTGAGCACGTCCAAAGCAAGACACATGGCCACGGCCTCTGGGGGTTATCGCGTCGGCACTTTCCCGCTCTCAAATATCCAGTCTGCAGGAGATTGACCCCCACTCCCGCCCCCAGCGTGGTCTGTGTCCTTTATTCCCGCCCTGGGGACCCAGCCAGCGGTCCCTTTCCTCCCTCTCCTGCGCTTCACGTCCACCTGGGTCTGCTCCTGCAGACCAGAGTGGTGGCGGGGGACGCCCCTTGAGGGCCCAGTGAAATATGAAACCAGGGCGGGATTCACTTCAGGCCGAGGTAAAAATGATGAAGAGCATTTAAAAATTATTTTCTATAGAAAATCGTTTAAAATGGACTCTTTGTTTCATTTTACTTTGTCAGAAGTGCTTCCAAAGAAAGAGGGCAAATTCTTCTGCTTTTATTTTTTTGGTTTGCCCATTGTTAACACTTGCCACATTTGCTTTTTCTCTTTTTTGTATCTAATCCACATCCATTTATGCACACACACGTTTTGATGGCATCGACTGGAAGTACAGACATCATGACACTTGACTCCCGACCCCTCATTCTCCATTACTGGTGATGCCATTACCGCACCTGAGAACATGAACATGCATTTAGTGACAGAGTCCAGCAGACGATTCCGTTTTCATACTGCCAGTTGTTCGAAACTGAATTTTCCATAGCTGTTTTTTTCCTAGACAAAATACAATCAAGGTTCAAACATTACGTTTCCTTTTATTTCTCTTTTAGTATACAACACCCACCCCCGTCTAAAATTTCTCACGAAACTGGGCTTTGAAGGGTCCTGGCCGTTGTCACAACAAATCCTGGTGGGCTCCACGTAAACATGGTTGGGAAAATCACAGCCCGGTGACACTGGCATCTCGGGACAGACAGTACGAAGCTCACAACTGGCCACGCTAATTACAGTCGAGGCCAGCAGACCTCCCCATGGCAAAGGTACGTTTTTACCTTTGTAATTATTAAGGGAAATTAGTCACCAAAAGTTAAGGACATCTTACAAAGGAAAAAAATGTGGCAAAACGTGTGTTTCCTGTTCCCACCAATGTTTCGCCTAGTGGGTCAGGCAGGCATTAATGATCCTTGCCAGGATCAATTATTACTTGCAAAATGGTCATTTTCTAGTCCTGTCATCCCTCCTACATTATTAACTGGCATTCTTCTTTAAAAATGGGTCTTCTTGAGGCTTCCCTGGTGGCTCAGTGGTTAAGAATCCGCCTGCCAATGCAGGGGGCACGGGTTCGAGCCCTGGTCCGGGAAGATTCCACATGCCCCGGAGCAACTAAGCCCGTGAGACACAACTACTGAAGCCCGTACGCCTAGAGCCCGTGCTCCACAGCAAGAGAAGCCGCCGCAACAAAGCGCACGCTCTGCAACGAAGAGCAGCCCCGCTCGCCGCAGCTAGAGAAAGCCCGCGCACAGCCATGAAGACCCAACGCAGCCAAAGATAGATAAATAAAAATACATAAATTTTTAAAATGAGTCTTCTTATACCCCTCTCGCTTTTCCCCAGGGAAGATGAGAGTACCCATCGCAAAACGGCTGAAGCCATGACAGGCGAGTCTCTGAACGGCAGATGGCGAGACGCTACCATTGGCTGGGGCAAGTTCACGAGACTGGTTCCCAGCAGAGCCTGTGCGGGGTTCGGGCTGGGGCGGGGCCCGTGCTCCCAGGTTGGCGACCCATTCTCCTGCCTGTCGGGAGGAGACCCTGCCAGGTGGAGGGGAGCCCCAGCTGCGCTGGCCGAGCTTCTGTAAATCCAGGTGTGGGGTAGAGTTTCGTAGCGCAGTTTTGTTGCTCGGTCCCTGAGCAGTCCCGCTTCGACTAGGTGATGGGGACGCTCTTGTTGGCCTGCCCATTGGTCAGTCACAAGGTGTAGAAGGGACAAGCACATCGGGCCCGGCCACTGCTGGCACCAGCCCAGCTCAAGGCCAGCCTGCTGCTAGCACACAGCAGTCACTGCATCTCTGAAGTGCTCTTACCTATAAAATGGATTTGCCATCGAGGTTCTCTCTACTTGTTCACGTAGGTCTATGAGTGCCTGGAGTGACAGCGGTCATTAAACTCAGGATGACTTCACTAACAACTACTTCAGTCCGTACTACTCTCATTTCTCTTCTCGTGGGTCCTTAATCCTGTCCATTCAGAAG